CCGGAATGATCATCCTGCAGGGTCAGTGATAATTGCTTTACAGTCGATGTTAAGTACGGGAAATGTTAGGGAATTTTTTTACTCCGGTGAGTAGTGGCAACCCTGCATTGGTTAATAACACCTTCATGGAGAATTTTTTTTTCAATTAATCTTAAATAAGGAAACTAACGCCACAAAGTGGTTTTTGCCTGTCAAGTCGGACGCTAGACAGTCAAAATTATCGTGCAATTCCTTGATCTAGCGCCACCTCACTGATACAAACATGCACCGCAAAACAGCCTGTGTTTAGCTTGAGTTTTTTGGATGAAGACGCCTTCTCGCTAATTCCGTGGCTTTTCGCCTATGCACAGCTTCATTGGTAACGAGACTGTTTACATTCTGAATTTCCTAATCTTCAGAGAATTTTGTTAAAGTTTACGCTCTCTGGAAAATTTTCTCCTAATAATTGAAACCTTAAGCGGAGTATCCTTTCCTTTATAGAACTTCGGGAAAGCAAAACAAGCCATAATATAATAAATCAAAGATGATAAATGTTGACTCAGTCATAGTGTAGTTTGTCACGAGCAAATCTAATTTACCTTTTGTTTCACAGTCCTGGGCAGATGCTCTTGAAGTTGGGGCCAGATACACCACAAAAGTTGTTGACGTCAGGTGAGTGATTAAGTTTGATATTGTAGACTATTCGATACAATGCTGGTGGGTCCAGGGGTGCAAGGTGAAGATAGGCCCTTTTCTTTCTAGAAAATGGCGAGGGAGTTGTGGAGACGTTTTTCGTTTGTTAATTCAATCCAGTCTGAATATTAAGTTACTCTAAACTATTTTGACGATTTGCTCTTGAAAGAAGTTTCTTTTAGATATAATTTGTCGCTTACATAGTCTAGTAAAGTTTGGCAAAATGTTTAAAATTGTTCCACGCGTGATGCCGTTATTATGATAAAACAGCCAATGAGTTTGCGAGAAATTTGACAGTTTGTATAGGAGGTAATCGTACGAGTGCGAAAACAATTAAGGATTTACTACGAGCGGTGATATTTGAAAATTCTCTCAAAATTGCAGGAGTATTTCGGTGAATGCAATTTGAAAGAATTTTCAAACGCAGTGGCCTCATGGTTAGTGCGCTCGTGCCCGGATCGAGCGGTCCGGGTTCGAGCGGTGGCTGGGGGCACTGTGTTGTGTTCTTGGGCAAGACACTTAACTGTCACAGCCAGTGCCTCTCTCCACCCAAGAGTATAAATGGGTACCGGCGAATTGTTGTGGAAACCTAACAAATTACGGGGGAGTGACCTGCGATGGACTAGCATCCCGTCCAGGGGGAGTAGAAATACTCCTAGCCGCTTCATGCTACAGTAACCGGGATAAGCTCCGGCAGCTATGAGCCAGTCGGTTCCAAGGCTTCACTTTTAATTGCTCGTGCTGTTATACAATTACTCATTCATTATATCACTGGGAAAATTACGAACGTACCTGTGTTAATTCGCACTGTAGTGCAAATCAAAAATGAACGATAAATTGGCCCGCTCTCAATCAACCACACTTTAGTAATTTTCTCAGTCATGATGACATAATGAATTGAGTGATCGTAAACTTGGGATAGCGATAAGTGTGAGCCATTTGAAAATATACCTTGACCTACTAACTTGACTTTGTATCAGGGACTATGGTGTGATGGTGGAAATCCTACCAGACGCGCCCAGTGTGCTTTTACACTCCTCTGAGATGTCTCGCGGCAAGGTAACAAAAACTTAATTACCAGCTGGGTTTATTCTCATCAGTTGTGTTTTTTTTTAGTTAAACAGCAACGTTGATTTAACGTAATAGAATGACAGTCAAAGTGTCACCGTAGAAAACTGTCACGTCTTTTTTTTACTGAGCCCAAGACAACTTCAGGGAAAACGTACTTTTTTCCAATGGTGATGTTGTGTTTACACTTTCACAGCCTTTCTAAATATTCTTATCTCTGTTTT